CATCCTCGGTCCTCGGTTCGGTGCCTCAGGGTTTGTAGTGCCTGGGACAGGTCACTCCTGTCTCGCTCGCAATTGCTGCGGCACGTTGCGGGGTGCAACAACACTCGCCGCAGCGCGCTGCGAGGTTCATGCTGGTGCTGCGCACCAGCGCAGTCGGTGCCCCGCCTGCGTCCACGTAGCCATTGACTGTCCTTCGGCACCCACGCGACCATACATCACTATCATCATCATCCTCTTCATCATCACCATCGTCATCATCGTCGTCATCACCATCATCACACTCACCATCATTATCACCACCATCGTGACCATCACCGTACTCATCACCATCATAATCATAGCCATGACCATCAGCATTATCACCATGCTCAGCATCATCACTGTTGTTTCAAATTCGCACCATCACCATCACCATCAAAATCACCATCAACATAGTCCTCCTTCGCCTCATCATCATCATGACCATCGCAATGCAACTCGTGGTTCCGAACCGCCACGCGCGAGGTGGTCCAGCCCATTTCGCCTTGAACATTCTCGCAACACTGGGTTCCGAAACGCCGCCCCCGAGAGGTGGCCCGGTCCAGCCGGACACGCCTGAGCCACCTTTGTAACTGGCCACCAGGAGACCTTACGTCAGGCGATCGTCTCAAATTCGTTCCTTTTCCTCCCTCACCCGCTCCGCTATTCCTCCTCCTCTTTTTCCTCCTCCTCCCTCCTCATCCTACTCTTCTTTCCTACCTTCCTTCCTTCCGTTGTTCCGTCCGTCGTTCCTTCCGTCCTTCGCTCCTTTTCACCCGCCCCCCAAGATTCCTACAGGAAGCCTCCGCGATGTTTCTAAGAGAAACTGCCTGGGCAGCACTTTTGGATGTTCTGGCGGGGACACATTTGGTTCGCGGGCGCGCGGAACGAGTCGAACGCCGAGCGTACTAGGGCGCGCCAGCAGCGAAGTGAGAAACAGCGCAGGCATCACCGCGCGGAAGAACCGCGATACCAACCAGACGGCGGTCAGCTGCCGAAGAGCGGGCCGTCGGCGAAATGCACGTGAACGCCGCAAACCTGTCGAACAATAGTCATATGAAACGCCCCGAGAGCACGAGGAGGACGACGAAGAGGACGGAGGCGGATGATGGTGGACCGCCACACCGAACGAAGACACCGCTGCGCCAGCATGGGAGACGCATCCAAAATGGCACGGTGTCGCGCAGGTGGGCCCCGTGAAATCGCACAGACGGCAAACCCGGACAAGCGGAAAACGAACAGGAAGGATGAACCACGCCTGGCGGCACCAGTCATCCAAGTAGCCGTGGCCAGCGCATTCCGAGAAACAACCTTGCCGTTCGGATAAAACTTCAGATGGCCCTTCAGATGGCCGTCAACCGACACCGCGAGCCCCGCGAGCGCGAATCGGAAGACAAAGCTGATCGGCACAAAAAAGGGACCGTGCAAGGTGGCGGGGATACGCAAAGCGTCAGTAACTCAATCAAAGAAAGGACGATGAGTAGGGAAGAACAAAAAAAGAAAAAAGAAAGGAATATAACGATAGGGCGATGAAGAGGGAGGGACTCCACCTATAGCAGCGGCCGCCCTATCGCCCCAGACACCCACTCTTCCCCTCGCGTTTTTGTTTTCTCCCCCCTTGCCGCTCCCCCTCCAATTTTTTCCCCGGCGGCGAGGCAGAGTTGGCTGCGCTGGCGCGGAAGCTAGACGAGGGCACCGCAAAGCGAATTGTGCCACCATGCGAGAGGGGGGGGGGGGGGGGCAGAGCGGGCGGCCGCGGGGAAGGGGGGGAGACGAGGACACTCAGCGGCGGAACAGCTCTCGCGTGACGGAGCCGGCGCGGCCAGCACCGACAGCGGAGGCCGCGGCAGCTGCCGGGCCGCGGCGCCGGGGCACCCACGTGCGCGGGCGGGGCCCCGCGCGGGAAGAACAGGTACACGTAGCAGCGACAGCGCCAGGGTAGAGCACGAGGTGCAAGTACGGCAAGAAGGGTGCCGCGGGCTGCCCAGATGGGGGGCACGGTCAGGGTGCGGCAGGTACCCGTGCAGCCCAGGCGGGCACCGCTCCGCAGGATGCCGAGCTGGTGGCAGGAACGGGCGGCAGGCTCCCCCCCCAAACATGCATGCACGCGTTCCTCTTCTCTCCATGTGTCCCCTTCCGTTTCCTACTCTTCCTCCTCCTCCTCCTCCTCCTCTTCCTCCTCTTCCTCCTCCTCATCATCATCATCCTCACAATAATTCTAATACTACTACGAATACTCATACTAATACGAATAGTGAAAATAATAACAACAATAATAATAATGTTAGTCGTAATGGCAATCAACATGATAATAATAATAATAATAATAATAACTAATGATCATACTAATCATCATCCTCATCATCATCATCATCAGCAGCTGCCTCATCCTCATCCTCATCCTCATCCTCATCCTCATCGTCATCAGCATCAGCATCAGCATCAGCATCAGCATCAGCATCAGCATCATCATCATCATCAGCATCAGCAGCATCAGCATCAGCATCAGCATCAGCATCAGCATCATCATCATCATCATCATCATCATCATCATCATCATCATCATCGGCATCATTATCATCGTCATCATCATCAACGTAATCATCATCATCATCATCATCATCATCATCATCATCATCATCATCATCATCGTCATCATCGTCATCGTCCTCGTCATCGTCATCGTCGTCATCATCGTCATCGTCATCGTCGTCAGCATAATCATGATCATCATCATCAGTATGATCATCATCATCGTCATCATCATCACCGTCATCATCACCACCATCACCACCACCCCCATCATCATCATCATCATCATCATCATCATCATCATCATAATCATAATCATCAGTATCATTTTCATCGGAACCACCATCATCATCACCAGCAGAATCATCATCAACAACAACATCATCATGATCATCGTCGTCGTCATCGTCATTACAATCATCGGCTTCCTTGCCCTACGCTCCAACCTTCCTCATCCATCCACCCTCCTGTGCTTTCTCTCCTCATTTCCCCCCCAATCTGCACTCCCCCCCCCCTCCCCCACCATCACCTCCCCCTACCACCCCCCACTCCTCTATTGTTTTTCCCTCCCCTTGCTTCTGCTTCTGTCCCACCCCCTCCCTCTTCGCTCCCCCTGAAGACCGGAACCCTGTCTCTCTCCCTTCCAGCCCTCCCCTAAGACGAAGCCGGGAAGAGGATAAATTCGGGTGAGGACGAATCGAGAATCTCGGAGATCTGGCGGCTCTGGAGGATGTCTTGGGCGCCACGGCCTTTTCAGAGCGTTCTGGAAAGCTCTGAAAACCCTCCAAAACGCTCTGGAACAGATGTATCCGTGTCCCGGCCCCGTCCGACCCCCGCCCGTCCCCACCCCTCGGCGACACGCAGAACTGACCCTAGACAAGAGTGACATTGCGGTTCGCGCACTGAGGTGGCGCAAAGTGGCCAAATCCAAGCGCGCAAGCAGCCGCCAACGCATCGTTCTCCGCGATCGGGGGGGCTTCGATGAGCCCGCACCAGAGGTCACTCTGGCGAAGGGTTGTCGTCCCCCCCCAGTTCCCATATTTTCGCAAATTTTCCGGGGGATCGACGATTAATTGCGTTTGTGGTTTCTGCCCTCCTGACACGTGTGCTCGACCCCCTCGCCTCCCCTCAAGAGAGAGGCCGGCGCAGGCCTCCGCGATGGTGACCTTGGCCTTTTCGAAAATCTCCGCGCGGATCCTGGCCTGGTTCCTCTTGCGCTCCCACTCCTTCGCCGCGTTCTGCGCTTCCAGCTCGCAGGGGCGGCGGGCGCGCTGGGGCCGCCGCCCCCCCCACCCCCACCCCTCTCAAGTCGCACGATCCGCGGTCCTCCTCCTCCTCCTCCTCCTCCTCCTCTTCCTCGGTCCTCCTCCTCGATCCTCCTCCTCCTCCTCCTCCTCCTCCTCGTCCTCCTCCTCCTCCTCCTCCTCCTCCTCCGCCTCCTCCTCCTCCTCCCTCCTCCTCCTCCTCCTCCTCCTCCTCCTCCTCCTCATCATCATCATCATCATCCTCCTCTCCCTCCTCCTCCTCCTCCCCCATCCTCCTCCGCTGCGGGGGGATCGAGGACGGGGGGGCGCAGCCTGAGAGGGATCCGTCGCGCGGCGCGCCAACGGCAACTCGAAAACGGACCCGAGCCACGGCCCAGGTCCAGCGCTCATTGAGACCCCCACCCAATGCCCATCAAAGAATCACGGCGGGGAGGGGTCAGAGCGAAGTGGCGAGCTTGTGGAAGATTAGAAGCTCTAATGGGGAAACGATTAACGAGTTAATCGAGGCGCAACCAAAAGACTTCGGGGTCAGTGACCTGGAGCCTCCTGGTGCCAGAAATCGCCTCGTGGCGGTGAGAGTCAGATGGATGCCGACGCGCCTCGAAACGACGAATGTGAGACTTCCCCCTGGCGCGGAAAGGGGGAGGAGGGCAGGCGTCCAAAAGCGACGAGGCCTTACCCGTCGAGATGCCCCCGCACGACAGACATATCACAACCTGGCCTGGAGCGACACACAGCTGGTGACCACGAGCGGCAGAGGGGGGGGCGCCCCCCGCAGCAGGAAGGGCGGTGGCGGGGGTGATGCCAGGCACGAGAGACCCCCCGCGAGGCCCAACCCGCCTCTGCTTGAACGGCCGCTCCGCGGTCCTCGAGGGGCTGAGGAGGGAAGCTGGGGAGGCAGGGCGCGCCTCCAGGTCGCGCACGGCCTCCGTTAGGTGGCTGTTGTCGGCGGCAGCCGCGAAGCTGATCCCTCTCCCTCGATCAAGCGGGCGAGGGGTATTCAAACGTGCTTTAACAACCCTCACGGGGGAGGGGGGCGAGCGAGGGTGAGCACCGGCAGCAGCAGGTCTCGCAGCCGCAGCAGGAGGAGCAACGGCGGAGGAGGAGGCGGAGGTGGAGGGTCCTCTGGAAACGACGGGAGCTCGGGTCATTGCGGCCTGAGCTCTATCAACATCGAAACTGAAAGATCCCCCCTCCCACGACATCGACGACGGCCCATACTTCCCGCCCCGAGCCAAATCATCGTGAAAAGGCGCCTCCTCGGCGACCGTAACATCCACATCGGATGCGTGTCCTGCAGGAGTTGGAACCTGAGATGGGGGCCTGGTCGGCTGCATTTGCGCCTGCGCCCTCCGAGCAGGAGGCGAGGCCAAACGAGCGCGAACAAGACGAAGCGCTCGTCCCTCCGACGACCTCGACGGCGACGACGTCCGAGCCCCTCCGCCCCCCACGAGAACCTCAGGAGTGGCCTCAGGATCCTGGTGGCCATCATCCCCCTGAGTGGGGCACGAAACATTGTCGTAAGACGCGCGCTCGGTAGCTTCCGTGATGATCCTCGCGCAATTAGCTATCTTCGCGGGGCAGCGACGAAGCGCAAATATCTGGCGCTGCTTGTCAGACCGACAACTCTTACCGCAGGTGGCACAGCGCCAGCCGTTCGCACAAGCAAAGAAGCTATGTCGCAAACCTCGATCAGTCGGAGCAGCAGCTCGAGCGGCAGCAGCAGACCTGGCCTTCCGCCGTTGCTCGAAACGACCCTGACCAGGGGCGACAGTTGCACTCATATACTTAGTATGAGACCTAGCCATCCAGGCCAAGCTTTTGCAGGTGGCCTTCGGGTTCTCTGACCGAGTGAAGGTCTCGGCCTTGAGCGGCCGCAAAATCGGCCCAGCGGTTCCCACGGGCCTCAAAAGACATACCCATCTGGTGTCCAGAAACGTGGCGAATCTGAAGCTCGGACCCCAAACCTCCTAGGTCCGCGATCCTACGCCAGATTTCGCACCATAAATCGCAATTTGGGCGCCTCGGCGAGCACCCCCAAGAAGACTCACGAGCGAGGCCATCAGGTAGATCAAGGTAATCTGCGTAGATCGTGAGCGGCAACATTGCAGACCTCAAAATCTGCACCACCGCGTAGAGCTCTGCCCTCGGAGAAGTCTGAATGGGGCCAGGCAAGGCCCCATAAACACATACCAATATACGATGATCCCCGATTTGTGCAATCCCCAGTCCGCGCGAGAGGCCTCTGGCCAGTAGTGATAGTTATGGCGCGCCCCATCCGAGAAAACGTGTCCCGTGATCATCTGGCAGTCCCCATACATAGTGTGCCACGTGCAAGAATCGTCTCGCGGTGGTAAGCCAGGAAACAGAGTGCGCGACATCCGACCTCGCGTCCAAAACCACGAAGTCGCAGCCGGGTGGGGAAGAACGCTTTTATCATGATCACCGAACAACTCATTACGACCTTCATCATTGTATGTGCATGTCCAAGGTATGATGTGAAATAAATCTCCAGGCGCGTCGTGACATAGCGGGCACTGAGGTGCATCCACATACTCACAAGCATGTCGTCGCGCAGGCGCCCAGAGCCCACCTGTGACCAGGGCCCTAAGAGTGCCAGCCATCTGAAGAGACAAGGAGTAGGGCTTGCTGGGGTCCTCTTCCTGCCGAGCCTTGCCTAAGAGCGCGACGACGGGCTCCAGCCAGTACCCGATGGGGGTCTTAGGATCTAGCTTGGCTGAGGGGTCTCTATCTGGCCTACCAGCCCAGTCGGACCACAAACGACGATCTGCCGAGACTCGAGCTAGATCACGAACAGCGAGTGGTGATGCCTCCCGAAGATCGAACGTGCCCCCCCGAGCGGTCTTGACCGCGAAAGCTGACGATGAAACCCATTGCAGAGAGCGAACAGCCAATCATGTTGCCCCTGCAGGTCCCGCAACTTGCCCCCAAGGCTGTCTAGAAGCATAGGTAGTATTCACTTGCCTCCTCCAAGCAAGCTGGAGGATATCATGTTGTGACGGATCCCAACATAATAAACACCATTGGTAGATAGCATCGGCCCGAGCTGCAATCTGCGGGTCTTGTGGCCCACCTCCATGAAGGAAGGAAGCAATCCAATCAGAGCCAGCACGACCTGGCTCGCACCACACGCTGCGCATTGCCTTACGCATGGACTCGATTACCGCTGGAGGCGCCCCGTGCACACCCACTCCGCAATTTAGAGCAGCAGGGGCAGCAGCCTTAGCAAACTTACATGTGAGAGCCCCTGCTTCCCGTAGACGTCTAAGCCGAGGGAAACGTCCAGCCATCTTGCGAGCCCTTGCTTTCAATCTCTGAAACCGAAGGGCCCTCCCAGACGTGACCTCGATGCCCAGGACTTCCAAAGCCGACAAGGATCGACACCCATGACGCCCAAGAGTCCTACAGACACGCTTAGCAACTGATGGGCAACCACAAGTCACAATCATTTTGCGCTTGGCAGGGGCGAGGTCGACCGAGCCGAGGAGGTCCACCACGCCCTTCAGGGCGTAACGCGCGTGCTTGTATATTTCAGCCATCTTAGCTTTCACCTGCATGGTCAAGTCGTCGGCGTACACGCGCAGCGCGCGATCGACGCGCACCGAACTCCCATGCAGCGAATCTATAGGCGTAAGTAATACTAGCTGCAGTATAAACGTGGCCACCCTACATCCTGGAAGAACTCCCCGAGAAGCATAAACTGGTTCTGAAAATGCCCCAGTCCAGGCCAACCGACGCTCGCGCGGGTGCACGCGCAGGGCGAGGGCCACCAGGGCTCCTGGGAACCCATGCGTTAGGGCTGCGTGCAGGATGGCGGCCCACAAGACTCTGCCGAAACACTTCTCAATGTCAACGATGGCGCGCAAACAAATAACATCCTCCGCATGAACCTTTCTTTGCGGTGGATGTGCTCCGCCGTGAAGCAGTGCGCGCGAGGCGGCGTCAGTAGTTGCCTTACCAGTTCCAAGTGCTAGAAAAGGCCTGCCTAATCTGTTAGCCCAGGCTCGCACGCGATCAATTCGGGCCTTGGCCCATACTCGATACAACGAAACCAGCAGAGCGATTGGTCGATATCCCCCATGCAGGCTTCTGAAGTAGAACCACGTGAACACGCCGAAGATACCCAGGCCACGAGGACCAGACTTCGCAAATATAAAACAGATATCCCAAGACAGATAAAGCTCCATCTGAATCCAAGGCCCAGCGTCTGGGCCTCCAGCTGTCAGCACCTACGGCGGCCCTGGCAGGAAACGACTTGGCGGCCTTGCGGAGGTCCATAATGCCCATGGGAGGCAGACGAGGACCCAAGTCTCGGAGCTTGTCGAGCTCCTGCTGCAAATCGCCCAGGGAAGCTGGCGAAGACCCACCGTCCCAGATGCCTTCCCAAAAACCTCGCCGAACGTTCGCCACATCATCCGCATGGCTCGATGGGCCTAGGTCCGCGTGGGCCTGTGACAATTGCCACCCTCGGGGTTTCGTCCAGCAGCGCGCAGGCTCCGAACGACTACTGAGGCAGTCTCGGAGCCATTTGACGAACCCCTGACCTCGCACCTGGCCGAGGCGACGCTCCTCAGCTGCAGCGCGTTGCGCGAGAAGGCCAGCAAGAGCGCGCAGGAAGACAGCGTGATACTGCGTCGGCTGCGCGAAAGAACAGGTGACGTAGTAGACGACCTCGCCCAACAAACCAGTGTCGAGCGTGGCCGCGAGCCGTCGAAGCCGACCCTGACCGCCGATCAGCTCCAGCAACGGCTGCCACACCGTCGCGTGCTGAGGCAGAGGTACCACCCCGTGCTTGGCCACGACATGCCCCAGATCGTCCAGTCGGTGCTGAAGCGCTCGTAGGGCTCGCGAGTGAGTGGTGCCAGCAGGTTGCCGATGAGCAATGGCACCACCTGCCGTGGTCTAGGCCTTCCAACCGTTGCGTATACACCATTGCTCCGCTTGCTGTCGCTGGTCGCCACGAGCGCGAACTTCCTGCAACGCCGCAGCGAGAGCCCCAGCAGCACCTTCCTCCAAGAAATCTCGAAGCCGAGACCACCCATTGGCATTGCAGGTGACAAAAGCAAGCGACTTCCGCTTGCTTCGCCGAGCCGCCCTCCGAGAGGAGGACGGGTATTGAAGACGCCCATGGTATGCTGGACATGATAGCCTCCCGCCGCTCACATCACTGCTCTCCACGATGCGCTCGAAGGTATTAGTAGTCGCCTGTGAAGATGATGGCCCCTCGCCACTCAATCCACTGGCAACCGTCACAGTTTCAGCCGCGCCCTGCAAAACCGGCTGGGTGCCCAATCCTCCCGCTGATCTGCCGACTCCTGCGCCGACACTGCCCTGTACTGGGTCACCTGCCTGGCGACGAATGAACCTGAGCCTGCCTGCGCAAACCAAGGATTTGAAGGAGTTGCTGCGGGTAGTTCTGACAACGGCTGATCATCCAAGGAGACAACCGAATTGTTGAACAACCGCGGCATAACGAAGATGAAAAAGAAGCTGCTAGCTGCCTTCCATTTCCTCATCATCAGCGGCCTCCTGCTGATGGAGGAGGGCCGTCCATGGATGGTCAGCGGGGGTGCCTGGGGCGGGTGCGCCTGGTGCGGCGCGTCCTGGAACATGTATTGGCTGGGCAGGCTGATCTGGCTGGACTGGCGCCGCAGGTGCAACAACTGGTGTTGCGGGTGCGATTCCTCCTGGTCCGTGAGTAGCTGGAGCCGGCTGCTGCGCTGTCTGCCCTTGCTGCTGTACCACTGTCTGCAGCTGGGCCAGCTGATCGGTGAGAGTCTGCAGCAACACCTGAGGGCTCCCTGCCAGAATGGCCTGAGGCGCACCGTCCACAACCACCTGTAGCCGCTGAACAGCACCTGCCAGGTTGGGAGCCGAGGATACGGACGGTGCTGTAGATGCCAAGACCGCGGTTCTGGCCATGTTGACCTCCGTCTGAATATGCTGCAACTCTGTGGAGGCCTGGTCGTAAGCGGCCTTGGTCTCCGGTAGCTTGGCCTCAAGATCTGACACTGACTGTTTAAGACCATCCACCTCTTTAGATTTAGCCGTGTGTCTGTCGAGGGATCGCTGCAACATATCGTCAGGAGTACGGTGCTGCTGCTCTCGCTCCTCGGCAGCTTGTAAATCACGTTTGACTTGTAAAACAACGGGGGCAGTATCACCAAGGCCCAGCTTGCGCAGTGCCCCAAGAGCCTTCCGTGCCTGAGCGACATCATCTGCTGGACTCGGAAGTCCATCGTTGCCGTCGCTGCCCTGCTTGGTTCTGGCGCCGCTTCCGTCAGCTCGAGGCCTGGAAACAGCACGCTTAGATGATGGCCGTTGTCGTGGAACGAAATTGGGATCAGGAGCGCCACGACGGTCACGACCGCAACTATAACATTGATCGTTGCTCGAGTAGTTGCCCTGGAATCCGCAGTCGTGTCGCCACGCAGGCCCATCGCGGATCCTTCTGGACATTGTTGGGTCTCCTGCCTGGTCGCGTGCCATCGCCGTCGTTTGCACCGCTCATAAGAGGCTCTTGGGACCCGTGATGTTTGTTCAGAAGTGCCCTCAACTTCTCAATATTCAGAAAACGCCTGGCAGCAGAACGGGCGCGGCGGCGCCTGCGGTGCCAAGCTGGAGATCGTGATCGCGCCGAGGGTATAGTGAAGTCGACTCGCGCTTGGGCAAGCGCGAGCCTGGGGCGGGCAGTGCGGTCTCAGATATGAAAGTCCAAAAACGCACCGTCTGGAAAAGCCTCCGACGGCTCTAGCCCAGGGAGGAGGGAGGAGGGAGGAGGAGGAGGGAGGAGGAGGGGGGAGGAGGAGGGGGGAGGAGGGGGGGGTCTGGCGAGTCAGAAAACGTAGTTGATTTCCCCGGCGCTTCCCTGCGCTGAATGTGTCCATCTATCGAGGAAGGCGCCCGACGGCGGGGCGGAAGCCAGCTGCACGAGGCACATTTCGTAAAGCCCCCCTTCCCCTATCCCCCTCTTTCGTCCGACCCGATCCTCCGAGTCCTGCCCACTCACTGGGCACATCCTCCAGCCTATCTCACTCTCTCGCTCTCTCTCTCTCTCTCTCTCTTTCCTTCTCTCTCTCTCTCTCTCTCTCTCTCTCTTCTCTCTCTCTCTCTCTTTCCTTCTCTCTCTCTCTCTCTCTCTCCGACGTCGTCTCGGCCACCAAATTCCCATCGGAATTCGTGGGCTTTACACGTCAGGGGCGCAAAGAAAGGACAGGAAATGATAATGTTCCTCAGGCGTGACGTGCGAGCGCAACGACCACGAGGCACAGTTGCCTGGTCGCCCTCGCCCCGTTCATAGGCGAGGGCATTTGCGCTGGTGCGGTGTTGGACACTCCTGTTACGAAAGATTCGAGCTGTTTCACAATCGCAAGTTTGGCGAGTACGAGTTCGGCCCAGTGTTGGCTCAGGTTGTCGGGGATTTCGCTGGCGACTTGAGGCACAACAACTCAAAAAAGAGAATGTCATTCCCTCCGTCCCTCGTCCTCCTCCTCCTCCTCCTCCTCCACTTGGAGGTGGATTTCCCTCGGGGCATCTAAAGCTGTCGGTGCCGAGTGCTGTGAGCGTTTCTCGGATTTCCTGGTCGCTCCTGGACGCGCTGTCGCACACATATTCCGATCATTCGATGTATTGGGAGTGAGGACTCGAATCTCTCCAGGTTCGCCTTCCGCCGCCCCTTAGTCTCCCCATGTCCCCTTGCAAAACAATACGTTGTCCTGCACATGCCAGATAAATCCTTCGCGCAACTTACCACGCGACGCACATAGTCAGGTCGGCGCTGACTCGGGCCACCTCGCCTTCGCAACACAAATACCAAGTTACCAAAATACCATCCCGTGCCGCCCGCGCCCGTTTATGCCCCAGGCGCTCCCACGCGTTCCTCGGGCCCTCCCAAGCGCTTCCAAGCGTTCCCAGGCGTTCCTTGGCGCCTGGGGCATTCGAGGCGCTCTCCAGGCGTACTGTGTGTGTGCCTGCGAAAGTGAGTGTGAATGTGGGTGTGGGCGTGCGTGTGTATATGGTGTGTGTGGTGCATGTGCGTGTGTGACGCACACACACAGTGGGTGTGGGTGTGGGTGTGGGTGTGGGGGTGTTTGTGTGTTTGCGCGCTTGTCTTGCAGCCTGTTCCCCCGCGCTGACCCAACATGTTGCTAGATGCAGTCCGACCCGGTCGCGTTTTTACTTACCGCGCCTGGTCCTGTGCCCCCACCTGGGCGGCGCGAGACCCGCCGGCCTTGCACCTCGTGCTATACGTCGGCGTTTTGCTGATCGTCTACTTGCAGTACCCGCACTGGACCCCGCTTCCGCAGGCGCACCGGCGCTGCGCCCCGCTGCTGCTGCTGCTTAAGTCCCCGCTAGCGGGCCCGGCCGCGCCAGCACCCCCCAGGGACGTGACCCGCCCGCCCCTGAGCAGCCCTCGCCCCTCCCCCCTCTGCGGCCCCCCCTTTCCCCTTTTCGTTCTCGCGCATGGTGGCTGATTCGTGTCAACGGCGTCCCAATTTAGCTCACGTGGCCAGCGCAGACGGCCCCTGCCAGCACCCGACGGAAAAAGTTTGTGTGCATGTGTTTTGTGTTGTTGTGTGTGCGTATGTTTGTGTGTATGGTGTGTGCGCGTGTGCGTGTGTATGTGTGTGTGGGCGTGTGGGCGCGTGGGTGTATGTGTGGGTGCAGGTGCGGCCGCAGAGGTGTGTGATTGCGTTCGTGTTTGTATGGTGTGTGCGCGCGTGTGTATGTGTGTATGGGTGTGTGCGCGTGTGCGTGCGTGTGTGTGTGTGTGTGCGTGCGTGCGTGAGTGGGTGCGCGCGTGCGCGAGTGCGTGCGCAGGTTGGTGCGTGGGTGCGGATGCGTGCGTGCGCGCCCTCGTGCCGTGCCGTTCCGTGCCGTACCGTGCCGTGCCGCGCCGTGGCGCGGCACGACGTGGCGTGGCGCGGCGTGGCGTGGCGCGGTGTGGCGTGTCAGCGCGCGTGCGCGCGTGTCTGCGGGGGCGCATGTGTTAGGCGTAAGTGTGGGCGTGTGCGTGGGCGTGTGTGGGCGTGCGGGTGTGGATGTGGTGTGTGTGTGTGTGTGAATGTGCATGAGTGTGTGCGTGTGGGTGTGACTGTGGGTGCTGAGTGTGTGCGTGTGGGTGTGACTGTGGGTGTGGGCATGGGTGCAGGAGTGGGCGTGGGTGAGTTTGTGTGTGCTGTGTGTTTGTGTGTGTCTCTGTTTGTGGTGCCCGACGCCGGCGCTGCTGCCCGGCGCCGCCGCCCCGCCAGCGGGTGTCCGCAAGCGGGGCGTTTTCCCCCTCTGTCCGCTTCCCCCACCGCGCTCGCTCAACCCCCTCCGCGCGCCGCCATGGCGCTGAATGGCTGCTTGCAGCCGCCGCGCTGTTGCCCCGGGCCTGGTCTCGCCGCCCGCCGCCGCAGCGGCCCAGCATCTGGCTGGGCACACCGCGCCCGCTCCCGTCCTGGGGGACGCACCGCCATCAACTGTTGGCTATGGCACTGATCGCTACGCACCCTGACCCACCGGACTTGTTCTGGCACCGGCACTGCGCTTCGCCGCCGCCAGGCCCCCAGCGCAGCAGCCGCCGCAGACCCTGCCGGCGGGGCCGGCCGCGCCAGACGCTCTGGGTGTGACCCGTCCCCATGAGCGGCCCTCGCTCCTCCTCCCCCTCCTTCGGCCGCCCTCCCTGTCTTCTCCCATTGTCTCGCACTGTGGCACAATTCGCTAAAACGGTGTCCCCGTTTACTTAACTCTTCTGCCAGCGCAGTTACTCGGCCTAGCCGCCGACGTAAACAAGTGTGTGTGTGTGTGTGTGTGTGTGTTTGTGTATGGTGTGTGTGTGTGCGTGTGTGTGTGCGGGTCTGGGTGTGCGTGTGGTGTGAATGTAGGTGTGGGTATGAGTGTGGGTGCGCGTGTGGGTGCGGGTGTGGGTGTGTTTCTGTGTTTGTGTTATGGTGTGAGTGTGCGTGTGTGATTGTGTGTACGTGTGTTGGTGGGTGCGTGCGTGCGTTCGTGCGCGCGCGCGTGCGCGGGTGCGCGCGGGCGTGAGTGGGTGCGTGCCGCGTCGTGTCGTGTCGTGTCGTGCCGTGCCGTGCGGTGGCGTAGCGTGGGATGGCGCAGCGTGGCACGTCGTGGCGTCATGGCGTGGCGTGGCGCGTGGCGTGGCGCGACGTGGCGTGGCGCGTGTGTGGGCGTGCGTGTGGGCGTAGGCGTGTGCGTGTGTGTGGGCGTGTGTGTGGGCGTGTGTGTGGGCGTGTGCGTGGGCGTGTGTGTGTGGGCGTGTGTGTGGGCGTGTGCGTGGGCGTACGTGTTGTGTGCTGTGTATGTTGTGTGTGTTGTATGTTGTGTGTAAGTTGTGTGTAAGTTGTGTGTACGTTGTGCGTTGTGCGTGTTTGTGTGCGTTGTGTTTGCTGCGCGTGCTGTGCGTGTGCTGCGTGCGTGCGCGCGCGCGTGTGCGAGTGCGTGCGTGTGAGAATGCGGCGTGTGTGACTGTGTGTGAATGCGTATGAACGTGTGTGTGTGTGTATTTGTATGTAAATGTGTGTGCAGTGTGCACGTGTGTGACTGCGTGAATGCGAATGTGTGTGAATGCGTGCGAATGCGTGTGGATGTGAGTATGTGCGCGTGGATGAATGTGTGGATGTGTGAGTGTGTGAATGTGTGAATGTGTGTGCGTGTCTGTTGCGTGTGAGTGTGTTTGTGTGTGTTCGTGTGTTTGCGTGCGCTTGTGTGTGGTTGTGTGTGTTTGTGCGTGCGCCTGTGTGTGTGTCTATGTGCATGTATGTGCGTGCATTCTGGTGTGATTGTGGATGTGGTGCGTATGTGCGTGTTTGTGCGTGTTCGTGTATTTGTGCGTGTGATTGTGTGCATGTGAGTCTGTGTGTTTGTGCGTCTATGTGTGTGTGTGTTTGTATGTGTTTGTGTGTTGGTGTGTTCGAGTATACGTGTGTGTGTTTTTGTGTGTGTGTGTTTGTGTGTTGTGTGCAGTTGTGTGTTTGTAAGTGCGTTCGTGTGTGCTTGCGAATTTGCGTATGATTGTGTGTTTGTGCGCGTGTGGTTGCGTGCGTTTGTGTGGTGTGTAATGTGTATTTGTTTGTGCGTTTCTATGTGCGTTTGCGTGCGTTTGCGTGTGTTTTCGTGTGTGTGTGTGTGGTTGTGTGGTCGTGTGTGTGGTTGTGTATGTGGTTGCGTGTGTTTGTATGTGCGTGCTTGCGTGTGTTTGTGCGTGTGTCTGCGTTTGTGCGTGTGTTTGTGTACGTGCGGGTGTTTGTGTGTTTGTGTGTGGTTGTGTGGGTTTGGTTGTGCGCGCGTGTTTCTGTGTGTTTGTGATTTTTGTGTGTGTGTGCGTGGGTTCGTGCGTGCGTTCGTGTGTTTATGTGTATCTGCGTGCGTGCGTGTGTTTGTGCGTGTGTTTGTGCGTTTGTGTGCGTGCTTGCGTGTGTGTTCGCGTGCGCGTGTT